TCCAATATTTTTCCTACTGATAGCAAATGGAACTCATGGAAAGAGATAGTGCCTTTGGAGAGTATGATGACATCAAAATGTGGACATACATATTCCTGAGGAAAATAGAGACTGAGAAATAGAAGAAAAATCAAAAGGAGAGAGGGAGATTCAAGTTTTAGCAATCAAAAAAGGAGAAAAGCTGTGTCAAAATGTACAGCAATTAAAAAAAAAAAAAACAGATACTCCCTTTACTCAATCCAAATTGTGAACATCCAGTGACTAATCCTAACAAGTGGCAGAAGATAAAATTTAGAGATGAGACTTGCCTAGTTTTCCAATATTAATTTTCCCATCCAGAGAAATAGGTATTCACAAATCTGTGAAAGTGAGTCCTGTCATCCCTCTGCCAATCCACTAGTTAAGTTGGGGGGAGAGATGTATCCAGGTCTTCTCAACAGCCCAAAGTAGAGTTACTGAGCTCAAGCCTAGACTTCTAACTCCAAAATCAGAATAGTCCAGCAAAGAAGATTTGCGAAAAATATCATCTGTATCCCAAGATTTTCTAGGAAAACCCTGAGATTTCTATTCTGGTACAGGAATGATCCACCCCAATCCCAACTTATTAAATTTTATTAAGATCATACTGGAGATTGTTGTACAGGGGAGAGCTGGTTTTCATCTGCATCTTTACTATGGCAAAAGTTTATCAGCACTAGTCTACCACTGCTAACTATACCAGGCATGAAGCTACGTGCTGGTCATATCATTACTTCAGTAAACCCTATAAATGTTTTATTAGTCATATATTGGAAAATGGCACTGAACTCTGAAGCCAACTAAATATTGTTGAGGATATCAAAAATGTTTAAATGTGATCCCTTACATTCTAAGAGAGGAGGGAAGACATAGGCATGTAAGATTGAAAAAGGACATTTGTTTCTTGTCTGTTTTTAATATAATAGCTATTTTATGGATATCATGTCACCTGCAAATAGTAGCTGTTTTATGTCTTCCTTTCCAATGTGGATGCCTTTTTTTTTTTTCTTGTTATTGCCTAACTGCTCCAACTGTGAGTTCTAATACTATGTTGAACAGTGAAGAGTGTGGACATCCTTCTCTTGCTCCTGATCTTAAAAGAAAAGCTTCAGTTTTTTATCATTGAGTATGAGGTCAGCTATGAGTTGTTCATTTTTGAATTTGGTACAATCCTTCTATACCACTTTAATGAGAGTTCGAGAAACAAGTATTAGCGAAGATGTGGAGAAAAGGGAATCCTAGTACACTGTTGGTGGGGATACAAATTGTTGTAGTCACTATAGAAAAGAGTATGGAGACTCCAAAAAAAATTAAGAATAGAAATATCATATGATTCAGCTATTCCACTTCTTGGTATTTATATGAAGAAGGCAAAAACACTGATTTGAAAAGATAAGAGTACCCCCTATGTTCATTGCAGCATTATTCACAATAGCCAAAAACCTAAATGTAAACAACTTAAACACAATTGGTGAATGTAAAAAAAAGATTTTTTTTATATTCTTTCCCTTTGCAAAGCAGCAGCGCCAGCTCCCCTTCCCACCTGTGATTATGCAGATGCTGCTTTTTTCTTTCTCCTTTTCCTAATAAACCTATCCTTTTAAAATATAAATATATAGGGCCTCCCCGGTGGCGCAGCGGTTGAGCGCTGGGTTGCGAAGCTGCCCGCGGCCTCTGCGGCGCCGGTTCGATCCCCGGCTGCTCCCCGGCCACCACAGGAGGGTCCCACATGGTGCGCAGACCCCTCCTGCCGCCCGCTGCTCCCCTCAGCAGTGTACTTTGGTCCTTCTGCCTGCTCTGCTCCCTGCTCTGGCTCTGGTGAATTCTCTCACCCTCCCGTGCTTCTGACTGTACCCAGTGCATGTATAAACAAAACAAACAAACAAATAAATAAATAAAAACATGCCCTCTAAAAAAAAAAAAAAAAAAAATAAAATATAAATATATATAGTATATATACACGATGGAATACTACTCAGCTATGAAAATAGATGAAATCTTGCCATTTGTGACAACATGAATGGACCTTGTGTACATTATGCTAAGTAAAAAGTTAGATGGGAAAAGACAAACAACATATAACTTCACTCATATGTAGACTATAAAGAAGCAAATAAACAATCAAAACAAAAAATAAACTCTTAGATATGATAACAGATTGATGGTTACCAGAGGGGGAAGGAGGTTAAAGGGTTGAGTGAAACTGGTAACAGGGTCAATTGTATGGCAATGGAAGGAAATCACCTTTTTTTTTTATTTTTTTTAAAGATTTATTTATTTATTTCTATAAGCACTGGGTACAGTCAGAAGTGCGGGAGGGTGAGAAAATTCACCAGAGCCAGAGCAGGGAGCAGAACAGGCAGACTGACGAAATACACTGGTGAAGAGAGCAGCGGGCAGCAGGAGAGGTCTGCGCGCCTTGTGTGGCGGCCGGGGATCAAAGCTGCGCTGCAGAGGCTGCAGGCAGCTTTGCAACCCAGCGCTCAACTGCTGTGCCACCGGGAGGCCCGGAAGGAAATCACATTTGATGACGAGCATGATGTACTGTATACAGATGCCAAATTATAATGCTGTACAAATAAAATTTATATAACATTATAAACCAGTATACTGCAATAAAAATTTATACAAAAAAAGACAACAAACATTGGCCAGATGAAGAAGAAATACAGTAAGTCAGAAGGATAAAGATGGCTGTGGGCTCACTTAAAAGAAAACTTCTCTCATGAGGCCAGATGAGCTAGAATTGTGCAGATATTAAAGGGTGAAGCATCACAGCCAGATGTTTGCTTTACAATATAATTCTGGCAAATTATTAAGAATGAATTTGTGGAGAGAAGAGGACAAGGAGTTGACTCTTACATCAACAGATATTCAAATTAATTCTGTGGGAGTGAGTCGGAGAGAGAAATAGATGCTTTTAAATCCTATTCAGTCAGAACTTGGTGATTGATTGGAGGAAAGGGTTGTCAAACAAGGAAGAGTCAAGAATGACACCCATGATTTTTGTCAAAGGAAAGTGCTTCGAAGGTTCTTCCACTCACAGAACTGGGGACATCTATGAAGAGCAGACTTCTGGCTAGGTATTATTTGAACAGTCTGAGATACAGCCAGCTTCCATATCGCTTTTTTTTCTCTCTCTCCTACTTTATATCAGAGGTAGTTTCATGTCACAAATGTATTTAAATAATTCTATGGCCTAATTGTCCTTTTTACTTCAGCACTTTTGAAAGATTTATGGAAGTTAAGGTAAAAATGAAAGGCTTAAGGAAGTTAATTTAAAAATAAGTGTAAAAAAGTCCAAAATGAAGAAATTCCAAAGTTTATTTTGTATCATTCCGGTCTCCCACCCCTCACATACAAAAATATTTATACAGACTTTCAAGTATCTTCAAAAACTAGTGAAGTTTGTAAAAATGCATTTGGACCTAATCAATATTTACATCATTATTTGTTTCGAAGGAGTATTGCATAAGAGATCCGTGAATGCCACAGAATAGGGGCTAGTCCTCAAGCTTTAAATTGTATTTTCTGTTTTATTTTTTTCTATAAAGATTTCCAATTTTCTGAAAATTCGAGCTCTTGGCTGGAAATCTCTTAGGCCTCTGACTCAGCCCTGAGCCTGCTAAGAAATGGACTCATTTATATGACCGGATTCAGCAGATCATTTCTAGCCTCATTGACCTGGACAAGAAGGTCGCTTTTCCCAAATTGCAGGTTCTCCCAGAAAAAGGCTTTACCACCCCTGTCTATTCTACTTTGTCTCCGGGATTGATGGAGCAGAGGATGTTTCTTACAGGAGCACAAGGAAAGAAAGGGAATTTGCACATGTCAACATCACGTTGGCAGGGAAATGCCACCCCTACTACACGTCTGGAGGCCCAGTGCATAAGAATGTATCTGACAAGATAAGGATCCATGGAGAGAAGCCCAGGCCCAGGTAAATCGTCCCAACCAAAGTATTTCTAATCAGCCACAAGGCACAAGGCCCAGATAAGTCACTCAGAGCCCTGTCTCTTAGCTTTCCTATAGCATTCCACCGAAGACAGTTTGTATGTGTTGGTTTTCTCCACCAGATGAAGTAACTGAGGTCCCAGTCAAGATCATTTCAGAGTTCAGAGGTGTTTCCCACTAGCTGGTAGCTGCCAAGTTCAAACCCCTACATGGTGGCCATCTCCCCTGGTAGTCTTTCTTTTAAAATCTTTGGAACTTGGCTCTTTACCATTAAGGTTTGAACTGTTGCTGATGTATTTCCCAATCTGGGGTCATGAGGAATGAAGCCAGTGGGATGATTTTGTAAAAGGGAGGCACCCTGAAACAAGTTGGTAAAGGCAGCGGCAACGGTGGCAGCAGCCAGCCAGAGTTGAATTCCATTTAAATAAAATGCCAAAAGGCAGTCAGTGAAAGTGACATTTATGGTGTTACTACAAATGCATTCAGTGGGAAAGCTCAGTAGCAGAAGCAAGGGGGAAAAAACAAGCTGTAGTGAAAACTGCCATCTGTATATTGTGCCCCGTTTTTAATATTCTGTATTCTCATAAAAAGTGTTGTTTCTGTCACTATTCAATCTCACAAACTCACACAGAACACTGTTAAAAGTCAGCAGTGTGTGAAATGGTATTTTAAAATAAATGAAACCCGCTCGCAGAGCTGCGGAGGAATATTGCAATGCTGGGCGCTGACAGACAGGCCCTGAAAAGTAACAACCGTTATCATCTTAAAGCAAAGCGGATTAAATAAAAACCCACAGCCAGTGGTGCATTACCAAGTCTGATATTGACACAGCTGCTGTGGTGGTTATTTTTCATTGTCTCATCAAGACAAAGCATCATGGGACATCAATCTTCCCTCTGTCAGGCCATGCCTGGTATAAAGTTTTTCGTTTACATTTTCATTATATCCCTTTTATCTCCAGTGCCAGCATTTTTTCTTAACTGTGGGGTCAAATGACCCATTGGGCAGTGTTGCACTATTACCTTCTGGTCAGAAGAGCCCCCTCCTGGGGCAAAGGACGCTGTCCCTCTTCTGCTCTCCATCACCTCATAGCTTCTTCCAGGGTCTGTGATAGCCCCGAATCTCCTGTGCTGGTGGACAATCAGAAAATATAATGCACGCGTTTGTATGGTTGCAAGAGAAACACAGAGGCAGAGAGAACAAGGTCATGACTACGAATTAGAGAAGTATTTGAGGGCATTGTTTCCTTTATTTCCTTTTTTTACTGGAGAAGAAAGGGTAAGAAAAGATACTGTGCTCCCCAAAACACTCAGCAAAGAAGCCAGATGAGAGTCTAAGTTTTATACACCACTTTTTTTTTTTTAATTTTCTGGACTACTCACTCTTGAATTAGCCTTCAATTAAGAAATTTCTGTGTGCAGGGCACATTTTAATTTGATTCAGAGAAAACAGCATCTTTGAAATGATTCTTTCTCTTTGGGGGAGAGGGGTGCTGATACTTGTCTCTATACTTCTCCCTAGTTCTTACATCCTCTGCTTTGGAAATTCATTAACCTGACTTCTCTAGAAGAGAAAATTCATTCACATAGGAAAGATGATTTGATCTCCACTGTGTTAATAGTCTCAATGACAGGGCAAACTTGACCACTGGGTTCCTTCAGCAAAACTGAGAAATGAGGTTTTTGTTTTTTTTTTTTTCAATAATGATTCATTAATTTGTCACTTTGTTTCAATTAATACTCATCACACTAATGTTAGATATAAATTCTTTATAATAGTAATGTTCATTGATTATGAAAATAACACATGCTTGCTATAGAAGTTCTGGGGAAGAGTAAGAAAATAAAAGTTACCTTTAGTAGAGAAATAGGCTGTGAACATTTTGCTATAGTTTTTTTATTTTATATATATTTTTTAAAGATTTATTTATTTTTATACAATAGCTGGGGTACAGGCCAGAGGCACGGGAGGGTGAGACGATTCACCAGAGACAGAGCAGGGAGCAGAACAGGCAGACAGACTGAAAAGCACTGCTGAGGGTAGCAGCGGACGAGACAGGAGAGGTCTGCTGCACCATTTGGGAATCTCCCTGGGTGGCCAGGAATCAAACCCGTGCTGCCAAGGCTGCAGACAGCTCCACAGTGCAGTGTACAACCCACTCCGCCACCAGGGAGGCCCCATTTTTTATTTTATATTTGATGTTATTAATTTTTACAAAACAATTTTATTTCTTTACAATAAATGAACCATCATTTACATCCTTGTTAATATTTTGACAGCATAGGATTTCTTCCCTCAGAAATAAGGTGTGACAAAGGTAGTAGTAGGGCTCAGTCTGAAAAGGAATTCTGCCTCTTAGAGCATCTTCTACATACCCCACAGGAGGACTGAATTGGCAGTGAATGAGAGGATGGCTGAGACTTTGTGAGCTAATCAGTAGAAAGGACTGCTCTTCCATGCCAGCAAAAACAAGTCAGGTAACAGGATTCTATGTAAGTTAAGGTGGTGTTCACAGTCTTCTGAACAAATAACCATACTGCTGACCATCTCACCAACTTAGAGTAGTTTATCTCTCACTCATGTCTCTGCTAACTTGGTTAGGTTGATCGTCCTCCTACACCTTCTGAGACATGGAATCCAAGATCACTGCTGAAAGGCAAGTGAGAACAACTGCATATAGCACAAGAAGTTCTAATTTAGAGCATTATCTCTTGTGCCACTATGCCCTTGACCAGGACTTGGTCCACCTGGCCTTAATTTCACTGAAGAGAGGCTGGGAATCTTCTAGAAACTTTCCTCTGAAGAGAGGAGCAATGAGCATAAGGAAATTTTTGGTCATAGAAGCAAGATAGGAGAGGGGAGGGCAAGGTAAAGGGGACAGTGGGGTAGCGAGTGGGAAGACAGGAGATGTCAGCAAGAATCACCCTCCATCTTATCCTATCGGACTCAACCATTGCCCATCCCACCACTCTCCGACAGAAACAGCGAATCCATAGAAATCTCTATCAAACTGTTCTGGTTATAGAGTGGCTTAAGACTGTATAACCATTCATTTTTTTTTAAATGAGTCTGGGGGTGACTGGACTCAGTGAGTATTACAGGGTGAATGTGTCTCCCCAAAATTCACAGGCTAAAAACATAATACCTAGTATGATGATGGTATTAACTGGTAAGGACTTTTGGGAAGTGACTGAGTTAGAAGGACATAGCCCTTACAAATGGAATTAGTGTCCTGTAAAAAAAAGTCCCCAGAATGCTCCCTTGCACTCCACTATATAAGGTCACAGTAAGAAGATAGCTGAAACAGTGGGTACTCACCAGACACTGAATCTACTGACACCACAGTCTTGGACTTCCCAGCCTCTGCAACTATAAAAATTATCTTTCTGGGCCTCCCTGGTGGTGCAAGGGGTTAAGACGCAACCTATGAAGCTGTCCACAGTCACTGCAGCACAAGTTCAATCCCCTGCCAGGGAGATACCCACATGGTGCAGCAGACCTCTCTTGACTTGCCCGCTGCTCCCCTCAGCAGTGTACTTTGGTCAATCTGCCTATTCTGTACTCCACTCTGTCTCTGGTGAATCCTCTCACCCTCCACACCTCTGGCCTATACCCAAGTTCTTGTATGCATAAATAAATAAATCTTTAAAAAAATAATCTTTCATTGTTTATAGCCCACTCAGTTTAATGTCTTAGGAACCTGACTGGAGGAAGACAGGAGTCAGTTCTTGTTCATTATCTCTAAAGAGGCAAGAACAGAAGAGTGGCTTAGCTTCTTTCCAAGGCTTCTTCCCTCACACAGGACTGGGCAACCCGAAACAGTTATGGCTACACTAGCTGGGGCTCTGGAGTACCTCTGTATACATGAGAGCTCCATGTGCTCACTCTACCTGCTGGTCTCAGGGTGACAGCCCTTGCATGGCCACCAGAGGCCCATAAAGAGAACTTAAAAAAAAAAAAAAAAAGCAGGAATTGCAGGACCTTATCTAGCCAAGTCTCAGAGGTCACGGGGTGTTACTTCTACCACATTCCCTTCATCTCTTCATCCAAGCAGCCACAAATTCCCCTCCTTCCCCAGTACAAGGGGAGGAGGTAAAGACCTCACTTACAGTCTAAAACCATGACAGAATTGCAGAATTGAAATGTTTTTAAACCACACATCTTGAGGAAAACCAATGTGAAAACTAAATCTAAGTCCTTACAAAGTTTTAGATGGGAAAAAAAATTGTAAGTCAACTTATCATGGGACTAAGCCTAAAATATAAGTTGTAAAATAGAAATAAAAAGATGTATAGACTTAAAGAACTAATCTTCCCATCTAATTTGATGACATTTATACTGTTATTATACTTGCAACAAAAAAGTTCTTCAGGAACTCCTTAAATTTCAGCATAAGCTTATACCTTTTCATCCCTTCTGTAACATCTCTGAAGTTCAGAATGGATTCATCCAGCCAAAAGCTATAGTTTAGATAAGTCCATTGGAAGAAACTTAACATATGACAATATCTATAGGGACCTGGCTACCTGCCCACCTCATATCTTCTCTCTTTGAGGGAACTTCATCATAACAGAAAGTTGGTAGGCAGAAGCAGAGTTACAGAGACATGCCAGTGTCATCCATACCATACTTGACTGTAGGTATAAAGATCTTCGATCTGTATGTAAACTTACCCGCCAAATGTGGAGCTGAATTTGACACTTCATAGTCATGGAATCTGCATTGCTGCCTGAAGACTATGTCTTCTCAGATTCAGTTTCCTCCCTAACTGCTTTCCTCCTGACCTCTCTTTAGTCAGACTTCTGTTTTGGTGTATGCTTGCTTTACATTTCTCTTTCAATGGACCCCAGGTCCCAAACTCTTGCATCTCACTTGGGGCTCTGAACCTCTGCTTGATTCCAAGTCTCAGCTCCATACACCACAAATATTGGCTGACACTCTTCTATATGTAATAATCACACTCTCCCTCCTCCTCTTCCTCTTCCTCCCCCTGCCCACCCAGAGCAGTCTATTGAGATTTCTGCTGCCACTGCAGGAATTGGACCCTCTTAGGAACAGTGTCATGACAAAGTTGGATATTGAAATTTGGATGTATGACCATCCCAAGAGACAATCTCCCCTGCCTAATTTGTCCCCCCTGGTCCCAGTCCCGTATGTTAGTAGTAGATTTTTGCCTTCCAGTGTGTCAAATGACTTTTTAAGATGCTTTAAAGTGAGGGTTCATGGGTAATAATAGGTAAGTAGGTATGAATTTTCCATTATTTATGCAAACTGCTTGAATCCTATCTATTCTCCTTTCTTACCCTCGGTCTCACCTGGTGGAAGACATTTAACTCTGAAAATATGTAACCTCATTAATGTGACCCAGTTTTAACTTCCCCCAGTCTATAATGTTTCTAAGTTAGTAAAATTATAATTTCCTTTATTCAGCCCATTAATCAGTGGTGCTGATAATTAGAAACTCACAATTGAAATAATCTGAAGTACCTGTTATGTGATATATAGAACATAACAAAATATTTTTGGCATGAAATTTATTGTGAACATGATTTGGCATGCTTTGATGGTTCAGAAGTGACTTTAGAATCTTAGGAGGCCGACACATCATTTTCATGAACATCAGTTAACAAGGAGTTATTCCTGTGAGTGGGAATGTTTGTCAATAAAAAATATCCAATTAGTGCCTCCCTGGTGGCACAAGTGGTTAAACACTGCACTATGAAGCAGTCTGCCGCCTCTGCAGCATGAGTTCAATCCCCAACCAGCCAGGAAGCAACCAATATGGCACAGCAGACCTCTCCTGTCTCGCCTGCTGCTCCCTCAGCAGTGTACTTCAGTCAATCCGCCTGTTCTGTTCCCCACTGTCTCTGGAGAATCCTCTCACCTCCCGTGTCTCTGGCCTGTGCCCCAGCTTCTGTATGCATAAATAAATAAATCTTAAAAAAAGAAAAGAATATCCAGTTAGTGGGATGCTGGACAGTAGAGGGTACCTTAGAGTAGGCTTTGTAAGATGAGTATCCTCCAGAAAGCAGTGAAAATAAGACAGACAGAAATGCAACACTCATGGTTTCTATAGGATTCTCTGGGTTTAAATGTCAAGATGCAGCACTAACCCTCCCTTACCATAGACCAGGTCTTTCCTACCACAGCTGATGGCTCAGTTCCCACACCTTCCTTCTTGCCTGCAAAAAAAAAAAAAAAAAAAAAAAAAAAGAAAGAAAGAAAGACTCAGAGTCAGGTAATCATTTAAACTCTCATTTTTCTTTTCAGAAATCCCCTAATTCATTTGCCACTTTACACCCAGATTAAATGACTCAGCCTCAGTCTACAACCTGTAATGTTATCATCATTCTACAGTCATTTTAGATTTAATGAGCACTTACCTGTGACAAGCTATCAAGCCTTTTGGAGTTTAGAGAGTATAGTTATGTCTAATTCTGAGCAAATGACCACCCTCTGTTTCCAGCTGGGTCTGAGTTCCCACCTGAACACCCATGGCCCCTCATTTGTGTTCCTGTGACTAAGGGCTTTTGGATCTTATGCTGTATTTATCTACTCACATCATCTTAGTCAGATCAAAAGAAACCTAGGGACTAATTCTAATATCATAAATATGGTGATTTCTTTCATTTGTTTAGAATTTAAAATGTTTTGAGTTGCTCAAATCGATCCTTGGAAACAATGATATGAGATAGGTAAGGTAGATATTATAGTCCTTATGATACAAACAAGAAAACCAAAACAGACTGTCCCAGATCCCAGAAAAAGAAATCCAGAACCCAACTATATCAAATTATTAATTCAGGATTACAAAGCTATTATTATCTACAAAGTAAGGTAGATATTATTGTCCTTATGATACAAACAAGGAAACCAAAACAGACTGTCCCAGATCCCAGAAAAAGAAATCCAGAACCCAACTATATCAAATTATTAATTCAGGATTACAAAGCTAAAGGGCCAGCTAACTTCTAATCGGTGCCCTCATGTCTCTCTCAACCTTTGCATTTCCAAATTAAAAGGCCATCACATTGATCTGCACCCTCATGTTCATTGCAGCACTATACAAGGTTCGAGAATTAGAAGAATTTAAGTGGGTGAGTGCATAAAGAAGATGTGGTTTACATATATTGTGGAATACAACTCAGCCTTAAAAAAGATGAAAATGCACCATTTGCAGCACTATAGATGGACCAGAGGATATTATGCTTAATGAAATAAAACAGAGAAAGATCAACACTATGTGATTCCCCTAACATGTGATATATAAAGAAAACAAAACAAATACTAATTCTCAGAGTATAAGAACAAAACATGGTTCCCAAAAGGAAAGGAGGGAAAAGGGTGGATAAGTTAGATAAAAGGGGTCAATTGTATGGTGATGGATGGAAACTAGACTTCTGATGGTGAACATAATATTGTATGTACAGAAGTTGATTTATAATTCTGTGTACCTGAAAACAATATAATGTTATAAGCCCATGTTACTTTAATTAAAAAAAGTTTAAAAGATCATCATCTTCTCTCCGATGTGCATACAGCACAAACACACCCACCACAAATGTCCTTGTTTGTTGTGCTATTCATTCCTAAATCTTAACTGGTAGGTTGTGTTTACATTTAAATGATTGTCCTACATGTATTATTTGAGTTGCAGGTTCTGTCACCTTTGCATTACCTGTCAGAACTTCATAGACTGTCATAAACATAGAAGGGCCTCAGAACATCTGTGATGAATGAATATATTTCTAATTACGCTGAGGTCCACACACCTTGAAGAGCCCTTCAGCAGCTCGGCCATCTCTGGTCTATCCTTAGGGGCCCACCATTCATACCTGTTAGCAGAAGGAAGCAGAATAACACTATTCATTTATCTATTCAACATCATTTTGTTTTGCATGCTGGAAGGAATGTGTGCTGTGAGTCAGATAGAAAGGATTAAATCCCAGTTCTGCCATTTACTGGCTCCGTGAACGTAGACAAATTATCTAACTTTCCTGATTCTCAGTTTCCTGGTGTATAAAATGAAATAAGAGCCTCTTTTCAGGGTAATTTGAAGGATTAGGATGATATAAGTAAGGTTATAGACACATAGTAATCACCCAAGCAACTGTAAATATGATGGCCTCACCTTCACCTCTCCTTAGTATTTTTGTGGCCAAGAGAGAAGCTCTCCTACTTTCCATGGTTTTTAGACTGGTTTACAAATCTGTAAGTCATCTATCTTTTGGCAATTCCATGCTTAAATGTATTGGTTATATTGCTGATATATACTTTCTTATATAAAATACATTTTCCATTATGGAATATATGTAACACATTTTCTATCATACTTCTCCACAAACTATCTATATATTCAAGAAAGAATAACATGTGTTATTTACATCTACCAACTATGCATTCCAACTGATAGGAAATGAGAGTGTAATGTGATGGCCTCAAAGTTTTAATTATTTACCTGGACAGCTTGCCAAGAGACAGTGGCATAGTTCTTAGCTCGCAATTAAAGTGTTTAACAAAATTTTTCTCAGTAAATGCCTTCAACATCATCATGCAAACCTTTGATTTCTAGAAAAAGTTGTGTGATGTTTCTGATTCCTCCTCACAAATCAAAGGGGTCACTTTAAAGAGAGGGCAGGCAGCACCCCACCCTCAGGAATGCTGCAGGAGACAAGGCCACTTGGTCTTCAGAAGCACCTTAAAGAGGATGCAAGGGTCTTAAATTGCCCCAGCAAAATTAACAGCATTTACACATAAATGGCTACCCTGATTTATTCACATCAAACCGATATAACATCTGGATAACTGATGCTCTACCTGAAATTCAAAGCAATGCTTGGAATATCTGTAATTAAATATTGGTCCTCTGAAATGAGTGTCTTCTGAAGGCAAATCTTTATCATGACCCAATGTCTTATTTCTTATTCCTCTTCATTTACAAAATTATTTAAACAAATATTAAGCAGCTTATTTACCAACATTCAATTTCACAGTGATTATGTGGAACATCTCTTTAACATGATTAACCACAAAATGAAGTCACTTCTCATTAGTAAAACTCATTTCTAATGTTCTCAATAAGGGTTCCAAAAGCAGCATTATGACTTCTTGAGATCTCCCTACCTTCCTACCTCCCTCCCTCCCTCCCACCTTCTCTCTCTCTCTCTCTCTCTCTCTCTCTCTCTCTCTCTCTCTTCTCTCTCTCTCTCTCTCTCTCTCTCTCTCTCTCCTTTTCTATATCCTTCAAAAATTAACTATCATCTTAAAGCAACAGGACTAGTCTGGCAGGCTAAGTTGACACTTACATATCCAAGAGACAGACTGACAACTGATGATGTACAGACTTTTATGCACAACCTGTTATGGCAAGTGGTCCCACCAAATGATAATATTTAGTTCTCCTGGTACTTTTTATTAAATGATGATTTTGATTTTCAATACATGCAGTGGATGTCAGCAGGTTTCTGTGGAACACCAGAGCTCGGAGGAGCTTGCTTGCCCACAGACACCTGTTCTGGTGCAACTCACTTGTGGCGCTCAGCTCTCCTGATCCGCTGGCAGGCGCTTGCCAGCCCACTGAAATCAAGCGTAAATATCCCTCAACAGCTGAACATTTGCTTCTAGCTAGAGGATCTACAGTTATTAAATCTTTCACCAATTTCTTCACTTTCTCCCTTTTTTTTGACAGCCAAACATTATGTTTTATAGAGCAATGTTTTCTCCATTATACAGTTCCATTATTTTAAAAAGAGTTGGTGACGCAGAGATCCCAGGAGGTATTTGTATCAAAAGATGTGATGTTCAAAGGAGTGATTCCATATACAGCTTGATGTTTTCAGAGCTTAGAATCTCTGTGAGGGGTTCTTTCTCACACTTGGAGCATTCAAGATGGCGTCCTGGTTTTGAGAAATGTCAAAGGGAAACAGTTACTGTCAGCAGATTGACATTATGACTGAATTTGAAGTAGTGTCTTTCACATTGTCTTACATTATGAACAGTTAAAACTCCATCTGCCCAGGGGCCTGATAGAAAGTATTAGGAGTTTTTAATGTTAAAAGAATTGGATCGAAGAAATATTACATCTCTTTAATTTCCCCTCAAGAGTGAGCTTATCAGTGCAAACATCTGTAAGAGCCACTGTGCCATGGACACCATTCACAAGTCTGGAGTATAGTGATCCTTGGCTACTCAGCACTTCTAAAAAGCAGCTGAAATTATTTTACTTTACTTTTACTTAGTTTCCTATTTTTCAAAGAGGAAACTAAGACAGAGAGGTTAAGTCACTTGCCTAAGTACACAGAAGCAGGAATTTAATGCCACGATGTCCAACTCCAGAAAAAAACTTGACCAACACGCTGTACTAGTTCCCACAAATGTTCCTTAAAATGACATCTAGAGATCTATTCTCAATCTCATTGGTGGTTCTCTACCAACTGTTCCTTATGCTTCTAGCATAGCTAGCTGACATTTCTTGTTGGAATACAGTCAATTTGGGGGCTGAATACCTGTATCCATCATTATGTGTGAAGAATGTGTGAATATTTTCTTAAAATAAATTTTAATGTAGAGTCCAATGAAGGTCTAGAATTACCCTTAATTTTCAGCTAATCCCCATACAAATGGCCACTCAGATTGCTGTCTCCAGGTTTATAAATGGCCCCAACCTATTTATAAAGATTTATTCACAATATTCTCTCTGATACTTTGAATGCTTTCATTTCTTTCTCCCAGCTCTCTTGACTTGTCTGTTCCCACCTTCCCACACATGTCAGGCTACCGTTCACTGGTGTCTGACCTTGGTTCCCCTTTCTTGACTCAAATCCATAAAGTCATGGCAAATCTATACAGACAGAAAATAGTTCAGTGGTTGTCACGGGGATGAGAGAAAATGCGGAGTGACTGCTTAGTAGGAACAAGGTTTCTTTGGGGGTGACTATTTGGAATTATATAGTGGGGAGAGCTGCACAACACTGTAAATAAAAACTACTGAACTGTACTCTCAGAAATGGTTAAAATGGTCAATTTTGTGTTATGTGAACTTTATCTCAATTTCTTAAAAAACAAAGACTAGCCTTGCTCGCAACCTCACCCAGCTCCGACTCAATAGATGTCAGTACAGATTTTATAGTCATTTAAATGAGGAGGTTTTGCTGGAATAAGCTGAAATTGAATGTTGGTAAATAAGCTGCTTAATATTTATTTAAGCAACCTTGAGACTGAGAACCCCTTATCCATCTGCTTTTGAAAGCAAAAAATTCTACTAAAATTCCAACTAAGCTTCCTAGCGGGTTTAAAACATATCCACACACTGTTAGCATTCCTCATCAAAAATACGCACATAATTCCTTTCTTAAGTGTGGGCTGGACTTAATGACTTGCATGCAATGAATCGAAAATGGCAGAAGTGATGGTGTGTGACCTAGTTATAAGAGGGATGGCAGCTCTTTCCAGTTTTGTCTTGGATCACTCACTCTGGGGGAAACCAGCTGCCCTGTGGTGAGGACACTCAAGCTGCCAGTGGAGAGATTCATGGGGAGGAACAGAGACTTCTCACCAACACACAAGTGCACCATTTTGGAACTAGATTATCTAGTCCCAGACATGGCTTCCAATATCTGCATCCCTGAAGCAACTTGACCCCAATCTTATAAAAGACCCCAATCAAGACCCACATAGCAGAAACATTCCTGGATTTCCAACACAGAAATTGTGACATAGTACAAGTGTAGTGCTCTAAACCAAGAAGTTTTCGTTTATTATGCAACAATAAAAGAACTATAAACCTCCCCCTTTCTTTTCCCTATCACTTAACTCCTAGAGTTAGTAGTTACAACAATAGCTTTTCATTGTTTACTGATTATATCATAAAATAAATACAAATATTTCAAGCATGGCAGAATTGAATTATATAGTGAGCACCTATATACCATCACACAGATTTTAATATTTGACTGCTCGTGAGGGTCTTTTCCTGTTTCTGCTTATCTTGCAAGAACAAGCAGGGTGGGCTTACCACAATGGGACAAAAATATCCCTGCCCATTTTGAACAAGGAAAAAACCCACAATTTTCCCTAAGTTGACAAGTTGTGTGTCAGCCTGCAGACCCAGAAGAGTGTTTGCTGCCCTCAAGGTGATTTCTCATTGCTCAGACCGGAAATAACCATAGGGAACAAATTCATGATTAGAAGGACAATATTCAGGAGTAAGGGGTACTCAGTTTGCTGCAATTCTGGACCCAAATTCAAGATACACCATGATTTAGCAGAAAGCAACCAATCAGATGCTCCCAACGACTTGCATTTTCAACGTTTGTTCTTCAACCCCATCAGCACTGCGCAAAGCCCTATCCTCAGGGAGACTGATTTGAGTGTGTCCCTTCCAGTCTCCTGCCAGGTGACCGGGCATTACACTGGTCCTTTTTTCAAATGCTGATGGCATATTTTGACGTCCGTGCCATAAGATTCAGCAACATATCCATCCTTCTCTCCATCTATCAATCCATCTTATTTTTTATATGTTTAAAGTCAACAGCAGACATCAGTATCTTCACCCTAAATATTCAGTATGCAAGTAAATAAGTTTCAATACTATTTATAGCTTTTTTTCTTTCAAAGTAAAAATTGAATACAATGAAGTACATAATCATAAGCATACATTTGCTGATGTTAACAAATACACACACCCCTGTCTATGCCAAGCCCTTGTGAAGACATAGAACATTCTTGGGCATTAATTTAAACTCACTGACGGTCCATAGACAATTTCTTATCCTTCGACGCCTCTTTCCTAACATCGAGTATCTGATCTGATCACAGAGTAGGTGCTCAACCAATA